TCCTTCTAGACCTCTTCCAGCATCAACCTTGCGAGCCTCATCAGAAATTAGAACCTCCCAAATCCACACCTTGGTCCATTTCTGTTGCTCGAGGTGAAGGTACTGTAGTAATGCCTCATTAGCCGCTTGATCCAACCCTTGGAGTGCAGTATAGATGATCTCCTTCTCATCTACCGTGTAATCCAACTCCTCCAAAGCCCTCACATTCTCATCCACCCTCTGGAGATACTGAACCATGGTCTCCCCTCCCCATAGTTCCGCTCCATGGTGTAAAACCGCTTCCGCCAAGTAAGCACGCTTAGAAGCCCTTTCTGCAAGTGCCTATCTTGCACTCTTTTCCAAGCTGCAGCTGCTGCACCTTCCTTCCCCTTCAGGTCAATCAGCATCTTAAGAAGCTCAAGTTGCCCCTCCAAAGCCCAACACAGGTACTGAAAAGCCTGGCGATCCTTCCGATCCCATGCTTCTTGAGCTTTGAGCAACTCCTCGCTACTTGGTTGCGACCTTCCGGTTCGGGTTGCAGCAGTTCCTCCTTCCTTCACCCCACTCAACGACGCTCCCCCAGAACCGGATCCCACTTGGCTGGTTGCTCCAGTAGACGCCTCCCCAGAGTCAGCTCGTGGTCGCTTCTCCGATCCATCCAACACACTTTCTAGGTCCTTAATACCTAGCCATAGTGTGAACTGGAACCTCCATAGCGAAAAGTCCGAGCCGGTAAACCTAGGAGGGCCATCCAACTTTTGGGCCATGTCAAACCCTAGATCTGGAGCACATCAAGCCTCTCTAGATCTCTTCCAATGGAGGAAAGAACGTCCTCTAACCGTGGCTCTGATATCACTGATGGAAATCGTGCAAATCTGGAGAGAACTAATTAGAGATTAAGTCTGACGACCTCAACGAATCATTGCGTGCTGCTCAGGTAACTTCTAGAAATGAGCTTATACGCGTTGGAAAGGTCTTAATCTCTACTTTCCAGAATGGTAAAGCACGTTCATAACCAAGATCTGAGCCGCCGATTATGACGAAATCAGTGTGAGGGGGTATTCTGGTAATTTGGCTAGACAGCCATGAATCACCTAGTAAAAACGAGAAGGGAAGCAGTTCGATCTGGAAAAGTTGCAGTATGTGATTGTCAAACACCACCAACCCTTGCCCTAGACCAAACCCTAACACTCTCAAGTGCCATAACTGCAACATCAAAGATGTTGTAGTGGATTTGAGGTTGTATGGGTTGGAAAGGTAACGAGTTCAAACCTTGCCAACCAACCCAAGTCCTTTTGCCCAAAACCCAATAGCCCACAACCAGCTAGAGCAAACTACACCACAGAATACTACACATTTATCAGGCACTACTAGTCCAGCCACTGGGAAGAGGCCACAAGGCCAGACAGGGTAATATATATAAAGGTCTGTACACAATCAAGGTCCTAGCAAATGAAAGGCTATAGGAACAAGACCAAGCTGTACACAGTGCCGCTGATAATCTTTAGGCGCAAGTGCCTTTTGTAAGGATATCAGCTATGTTGGCACTGGAGGCCAAGTGTACTACGCGGGCCTGGCGACGCTGCTGTAGCTCGCGCAGGAGGAAGTACCGCAGCTGGATGTGCTTCGCTCTGCCCTCGAGTCTGGGCTCCCGACACAAGAGGACCATGGCCCTGTTGTCAACGTACAGGACTGGGGCAGAGCTAGGCCGCTCATCTAAGTCTGTAAGCAAGAAAGTCAGCCAATGGAGCTCCTATGCCGCCATGGCACTAGCATAGATCTCAGCCTCATAGCTAGACTGGGCAACAGACGACGAACTTGCGGACCGCCACGAGACAGCACCTGCTCCAAGGCTAAAGCAGTAGCTCTGAGAGGAGCGGAGAGTCTCGGCGTCGTCTGCCCAAGAAGCGTCTGTGTGCCCAGTAAGAACCACTGGTCAGTGTCCTCCTAGAACTAACCCCAAGCCCGATGTACTTGCTAGATAACGTAAAACCCTCTTAGCTGCCGACCAGTGCTGTGGTCGGTGTCTGCCGGTGGCCACAAAGCGAGCCAGAATGCTGAAAGCGTATGCGAGATCTGGACGAGTGCAAGTAATCAGGTACATGAGGCAACCCACCAGCTTTGCATAGGGACCACTAGGCTCTATAGCCTCCTCCGGGACTGGAGCATAGAGTCTGTGGTCTACTAGTAGAGGGGTGGGCTGTGCGGAAGAGAACAGAAGGCCAAACCACTCAAGGACCTGGCGCACCAAGTGTGATTGCGAGAGAGTGATGGTGCGCGCTGCTCTGTCCCTAGAGATCTGCATGCCAAGGTAGCGGCGCAGCTCTCCTAGGTCAATGCAGGTGTGTCTCCTCAGCAACTCAGCCTTCACGGAGGCCAACGCATCTTTGTCTGCAGTAGCAAAGTCCAAGTCGTCTACGCAAACAAGGATGTAGAACGGAGTCTGGCCGGAACGGACGAAGAGCGAGGGGTCTGCAGACAAAGAATGTAAACAAGGTACCGGTGGATCTCCAAGACGCTATCTCCTGCTCCATGGCAGCTATCCACTGGGAGGCCCAGGGACCGAGATGGCCTCTGCGTAGGTGCGAGGGAACGGGATGTCAAGGGTGTCTGGGTCACCCTCAGGGACTAGTAGGATGGAACAGAGATGGGGAACGGCCTCTGACTGGAAAGCGAGCTTGTACTACCAGTCCTCTAGGACGTCACTGCCAAGGGCAGCCACACCCCCGACGGTCGGAGGGCAGGCAGGGTCAGAGACCAGAGCGGTGGCGTAGTCCAGGCGGCGGGTAGTGGCGATGTCAATGACAGCAGCGACAAGAGCCGACAGACTCGAGACAGGAACTGACGGATCGATAACAAGCGAGGAAAGGACAAGACGGACAAGGGGACGCGCTGCACGGAGGAAGTCAAAGAACGGAGGGGGGCCGCAAGAAGCGACAACGGGGGAGGAGACGGGAGGAGAGGAGGAGCACAAGATGCGTGAGACCGAAGTAACATAGGCTGAGAATGCAAAACAGGGGAGGTAGGACAAGCACGAGACGGACGACGCGACCAGACGTGAGATGGAGGAGTCGGGTCAAGAGAGAGGGGGGGAGACACAAGAGGAGAATGGGGAGGGAAACGAACGGGAGAGGAGTCCGGAGGAGGAAACACTGGGCCATAGACCAGCGGAGGAGGACGCGGCGGCGACGGAGGAGGCACCGACAGACGGTTAGGGGAAGGAAGACCGAGGAGGCGAAGAGTGGACACCGGCTGCGACTGCTGCGGCTGCTGCTCGACTCCAACACCAGAACCTCCAGCGACAGCACGGCTCCCCCCGAGAAGCTCCACGCCAGCACCCCCAGAACGGGAACCCGCTCCAGCACTTACTCCCGCACGCTCCCCAGCACCCCCAGAACGCACGAACCCTAGCGGCGGTGACGATGGCAGCTGCAGCTACGGTGGCGACGGCAGCGGCAGGAGCGGCTGTGACGGTGACAGCAACGGCGACAATGTGGAAGGAGAGACTGGGGCGGTGAGGGGCGGGGGGAGGGACTCCGTAGAGCCGCGAGAGGCAGCAGACTCCTTGGCAGGGACACCCGACGGGAGAGGGGTGACGTGAGACACACCAGATGGGGCAAAGAGGGGAGGGGGGGGAACCGGAGCAACTGGGGGAGGGGGAACCACGAATAGGGGGGGGGTAACCGAAGGACCACGGTGAGGAAAGCGGTGGTAAAAGGAGACAGACTCGTCAAAGGTGACGTCGCGGGAGTGAAAGAAGCGGTGTGACAGCGGGTGGTTGAAGTGCCACTCGGACCAGTCAAGGGGGAAACCTAGGAAGACACAAGGGATGGTGCGGGCAGTGAGCTTGTCCGTGCCAGAGGCATGAACGTGAGCAAGGCAGCCCCAGACGTGGAATGCTGACACGTCACCAGGAGACCCGGTCCAGAGGAGGGTCAGCAAAACCTGCGGCCGCTGAGGGTGCGGCCACAGGTTAAGCTGGTGAGCGGTGTAGCGGACGACGAACGGCCATAGAAAATGGGGTGCACCAGCATGGATCATGGAGGTACGAGCCACCTCCATAACCAAACCGATGTGTCGCTCAGCGACCCCATTCTGCTTTGGGGAGTCTGGAAGATTGTACGTCTGGGTGATGCCCTCCGCACGACAGAAACGACCAAGGCAACCAGAGGCGAACTCGCCACCGCAGTCAGAGTGAAGACGGAACACAGGGAGACCTCAGTGCAGACACGCAGGGACAAGCCACGTGATAAGAACGCCAGGCACGTCTGCCTCTCACTCCAGGTGAAACACAGTGGTGTAGCGCGTGTACTCGTCGACAAGCACTAGGAAGTAGCGCTCGCGACGTGGCCCATGGACGGGGGCGGGGCCCCAGATGTCCATGTGCAGGGTCTGCAGCGGTGCGGCGGTGGGGGGGAACGAGGAGGAGTGAGGGGCACGGCGGAGCCGACCCTCGACGCAGGGGGTGCACGACAGCACTGGGGAGGAGGGGAGCGCAAGGAACGACTTAGGGAGACGGGTGAGAGTGGGGTGACCTAGACGGTGGTGCCACAGAAGCGACGGGTGAGTAAGCGATCGACACGAGCAAGCCGTAGAAATCTGGGTAGTCGCTGCCACCTGGGGAGGTGTCCCAACCGGGGGGGATGCGGTGTCCAGACACAGGGTCCCGGGGGAACGTAGTGAGGGGGGCACCAGTGGCGGCCTCGGTACAGACAGCGTACCGCTCGTGCCCAAGGAATGTAGTGGTGACGCCAAGGTCCTGGAGGCAGTCGACACCAACTAGGTTCCTAGAGAACGAGGGGATGTGCAGGCCTGTAAGGGAGCCCGAGGGAACTGCCGGACAGGGAAGGGTGGTGGAGCTATGAGCAACTACAGGACTGGAGGAAGGGTCTGCAAGAGCAATTGCGGCAGGAGCGGCAAGCGGCGTAAGCGTAGTGGAGTCCCGAAAGAAACACCGGAAAGCGCCAGAGTCCAGGGTGAAGGAATGCGCGGCTGTGGCGACAGGGGTCGGAGGAGCGAGGGAGGACCCAAGGCTAAACAAGGCAGGGGATCCTATGCTTGACGCAGCAGGGGAGCCTTAACTAGGCACACTGGGCACAACTACACTAGGCAACACAGGGTAATAGGAACCAGTCACACTAGAGTCATCGACATACATCACATACAAAGTAGAGCTAATCTCATCCATGTCCATATCAAAGATCCTAACACCATGGCAGAGCAGACTGTATCGGGGAGGTCTGGCGACGAGCCGAAGCGGAGACGAAACAGGCCGTCTAAGCGACTGAAGCAACGAGTAGGGGTATGGTTGATCTTACCGCACACGAGGCCGCGGCGAGGACCGGTCTGGAGCTGGTACTAGCTGTGCCCGTCACTCTGACCACCACCCGACATCACGCTGCGCGCACGACTACTGCGACCACCGCCACTACCGGCACCAGGCCACCCGGGCGGGAGACGGCTTACCAGCCGCTGCTGCTGCTGCTGCTGTTGGTCCAGCTGCGGCACCTGCTGCTGCTGCTACTGCTGGGGCTGCTGCTCTGAGGCACCAGCTCCAGCCCCCTCGTCAGGAATAC